CCTCCCCACCTCCTTACCGTACCAAACACCCACAATCCCCTTCCCGCCCTCACATTCCGCCTCCCTCCTTCCTGTATCTAAAAATAAATCAAAGGTAATATACAGCTGGATACCCACCGTAGTTACATCCCGAAGACTTGTATATACATATCTTATCCCTTTAGCTGGGGCTAGAAACACCTTTTCGCGATCCACTGCCCAGAATATTAAGCGATCTAATAGGACTCGATACTTTTACGAGTTTTAGGTATAAAATATACTATATTAATATAATTAATAAAAACTATAGAAAAAAGGCGCGCTTTATATAATTAAACGTCGTTTCTATTATAAGTAGAGTCGAAGTAATTTAATTCTAAACTATCTCTGTTTACTTATTATTTATAATTACGCCTAACTTATATATAAAGTAGTTTATAGTATTTTATTAAAGACTATAATTCTAATTCATTACTATAAAGAAGACTAGATATTTTATTATCTAGTTTTTAAAAGTTAAATATATTTTTAGAAATTAGCTATTAATTTTATTTAAGTTACTATATTATAAAGTTTACTAATAAGTTCTATTTATAATACTAGGATTACCTAGATCTAGATAAATAGTAGTTAAAGTTATAAAGGTTCTTAAAAAATAAAAAAGTAACTTAGTGTAACGAATACTCAAACTGGCTAACTAAACTTGGCTGGGTGTTCGCTGGTTGGTATGCTATTGTGACGGTTATGGTCACGAGGGCTGGATGTCACATGCTCGCTTAGCGAGGCGCTAGCGCGCACGACCTGTATTTAGTTCCCAGCTCTCTCGAGCTCTCCTTCTTTCCTCGTCTTTTGTCCTAAGAATAGAGTGTTAATTGTTCTGAGTTCTACCTGAAGCACGTCTGTCACATTACAAAAGACCCTTAGTTGAGGCTAAGTATCCCAGGTCTAAGTTCACGTTCACGTCCAAGTTCAGGTCCACGATCTTACGTCTCAATTCTCACGATTTCTACCACTTTCTTGTGCGCAAGAACCCTACACTTTACAACACGACGAAACCTCTTCTTTTTTCGACTTCTCTACAATGGATGCCCTTCAAGTTCAGTCCGCCATCGCTGAGTTGCAAGCTGAAGTCCAGCGACAGCGCGACGAGATTCACTTACTCCGGTCAAGAACATCCGCAAAGCCTAAACCTTCCCTCCCAGACCCTGACAAATTCACTGGCCAGGCTCATAAATTCGACACCTGGCTTCCCTCAATCAAAGCAAAGCTACGAGTCGACGGTACAGCTATTGGAGACGCTATTGCGCAGTTCTACTACGTCTACCTCAACCTTGACTCCCACGTCCAAGCCATGGTCCTTCCACAGCTCTCTCAAGCAGAAGACACCCAAAGCTGGGACTACCAAACAATCCTCGAACAGCTCGCGCGCGTGTACGACAATCCAAACAAGGTACAGGAGGCGGAAGACAAGCTATTTGCCCTCAAGCAAGGTGCTGACTCAGTCCCTACATATATCGCCAAGTTTGAGCGTGTCCTTTACGAAGCAAGAGGTCAGGACTGGCCAGATGTCAACAAAATTTCCACCTTTAGGAATGGCCTTAATTCTACTCTTCGCGGACGACTTTCTCAACAACTCAACCTACCTCGCGATTATACTACATTCATACGCGTCGTACAACAATTAGCAGGCCGCTTCTCTTCGTCTACACAACCTACACAGTCCTACTCCTCTGGCAACCACCACAGCGAACCAATGGACATAAATGCTTTTAGCATCAATTCCATCGACCCATCCTCTCCTCCACGCGCTCGCTCTATTTCCCCTGAGCGTAGAGATCAATATAGAGCTGAAGGCAGGTGTGTACGATGTGGCTCCTTGGAACACTGGGTCAACGATTGCATACTCCGTCCTTTCTCACCAGGACCACAAGGAAGGAAATCAGCCATAGATTTGGGGGATCTACCAGCTGGGGAGGCATTCCCAAAGCCAGTACGAAAGCAGATTGCAAGACCAGGCAGAGTAGTAATAGCAGCTATGAACGACAATGCTTACGATAGCGCGGAGGTAGATTCGGACGATCCTGACCATCCAGATGCCTGGCAAAAGGGTATTTTTCACAATTAGTTCAGATTTTCAACGCTCGGGGCGAGCTCTTTTTAAAGGGGGGGGTGATGTGACGGTTATGGTCACGAGGGCTGGATGTCACATGCTCGCTTAGCGAGGCGCTAGCGCGCACGACCTGTATTTAGTTCCCAGCTCTCTCGAGCTCTCCTTCTTTCCTCGTCTTTTGTCCTAAGAATAGAGTGTTAATTGTTCTGAGTTCTACCTGAAGCACGTCTGTCACAAAGATTTTCTATTCTTATAAGCGCTAATATAGGTAGTTAAGGGCTTAAGTAAGAAAAACGCGAGTACGAAAATAGTAAGTAAGGGATTATACTTAATATAAAGCCTCTAACCTTAAGCTAGATTCCAATAACGTTATAACTTACCCATTAAAGATTTATCTATTAACTAGTAACTATATAGTTTTCTACTAAATATGTTCTTTACTAGAAGTAATATAGTATATTTATTAAATCCTAATTTATAAAAGAATAGATCTTAGATAACCTTTTAGAAAGAATAAGATAGTAAGTTCTCTAAAGTGTCACGAATCACGTGTTGGCACGTGAGAAGTGAAGACCAGGCGGCGTCCTGACAAGTCAAGCACTATTGAACGCTCTTATAGCAAATGGGATCGCTTGGGCTAGCTAAGCGATCCAGGGATTTCCTTTTGTTAGTGTCACGTGACAAGTTGGGTCGCCTGGAGCGACGAGCGCTCCAGTCGTCTGGGTCGACTCGGTAGATAAGCGACCCCGGCGATCCAACAGTTAGAACAGAGAACAGAGGTTCTATATAAGACTGGCATGTCTCCCATTAGATAGGAGCTTCGTGCTCAACTTAGTTATCAATATTATCATATTAGTTTGACATCTTTGATACAAGTAACGAGTTCACTTCCAANCCATTAGATAGGAGCTTCGTGCTCAACTTAGTTATCAATATTATCATATTAGTTTGACATCTTTGATACAAGTAACGAGTTCACTTCCAAGTGAACAACCCGATAGTCTTCTTCTTATCATAGCTGTGACAGACGTGCTTCAGGTAGAACTCAGAACAATTAACACTCTATTCTTAGGACAAAAGACGAGGAAAGAAGGAGAGCTCTAGTGAGCTGGGAACTAAATACAGGTCGTGCGCGCTAGCGCCTCGCTAAGCGAGCATGTGACATCCAGCCCTCGTGACCATAACCGTCACAATCTTAGAGTTATCTAGGTAGCTTTCTCGAATAAAGCTTTAACTTATAGGTTATAAATTCTCTCTATTTATATTAGAGCTATTCATACTAAAGTTATTAGAGTTAATAAGATTATTAGAATTATTAGTATTATCTAGAGACTTAGAATCTTTTATAGTATTACTACTTAAAAGTTTATTATCTTTATAAATAGTTAAAGATGTTAATAAAAAGGAAGTAGTTACTTAAGTAGATAATTCTCTAGTTATAGTTATTCTAGAATATATAAAAGATATAGAAGTAAATAAAGAGCTACTTATTTAGGTTTAAGTATAATCCCTTAAGGTTTTATACCTCTTATTAGTTCGATTATTATATTTAGTAAAATCTAGGTATAAAAGAAGTATTATAGCCTAAATAATAGTAATATTAAATAGCTTATATTACTCTCTTGCGTTCTAAATTCTCTAATATCTATTACCTATATATTTAAATAACTTTTTAATAAATAATAAAATATATAAGTTCTATATTTTCTTATATAGTTAGTAGGTATAGAAGCTATAAATAGATTTCTTTTATTAGGTTATAATTAATTTATATAGAAATAATTTAAGGTTAGAGATTTCTATTACTCTAAGTATAGAGTCGCTAAATTAGTAGAGATTAATATAAGTATATATAAAGCGGATTTTCTTATCTACTAAGAGTTTATATAATCTTTTTAAGGGGGCTATATATTTGTAGCTATCAGTAGCTATATCTACTCTAGTATTTAGCCCTGTAATGTGACTACACGCACAGCTGATGGACCGCGCAAGAGTGCACGACTACGTCAGGTATCACGAGTGGTGAGATTGACACTGTGGAACTGTCTATACGAAGATTCTAAGCTGAGGAGAGAAGAGAAGAAGGGACAGAAGAGAAGAAGGGACAGAAGAGAAGAAGGAGCAGAAGAGAAGAAGGGACAGAAGCTCAGGAGCTGGAGGCTCTTATATACAGGAGGTGTGCCAAGCGCACCTGCTTAGCCGAGTTCCAGCCAGGGGCTGGTCTGTAGCGTAGTGGCGGTCAGAACCGTCACATATAATATATATAGGATTAGAGAACGTTATCTTAATATTCCTAGACTATATAGCCTTTATAAATAATTTCTTAGTATACCTAGTAAAGAGAGAAGTATACTTATCTAGTAAGGAATATATATTTATAAAGACGGTCTTATAAAGGTTATTAGATTTCTTATTCCTCTACGCTTTATACTTAAGTTATACTAGTATATCTTAAGATACTCTTTATTTTCTGTTTACTTTATTTAGTTTATTTTAGAAGCTTAGCATAAAAGGTTAAGGTAAGACTAGGGTTAATTAAAGGGTTAGTAATTAAGGTAGTAGGGTTAAGGCTATAGAAGGGCTAGATTATATAGAAATTCGTGAAGTAGGGCCTTAGGGTATAAAGACTTAGAATATATTAATAGGATTCGAGTATTCCTATATAAGTATAGGTAGTTATTATTAAAGATTTAATAATTAGGGATCTTATAAAGTAGTAGGTAAGTATTAAATTAGTATTAGTTAAAAACTCTAGCTTATAGCTTAATTTTTAGTACTAGAAAGTAGGGTATATCTCTACTATTCTTTTACATTACTAGTATTTCAAAAAGAAATACTATAAAATATAAGTAATTAAGAGATATAATAGGTTAGTCTATAAAACTTTCTTTCTAATAGAAAAGAAGAATAGGAGTTCTAATTAAAAGAAGATACTAAGTAATAGTTAGTTACTAGTAATTAATAGTAGAGTTTATTAAATTAGTACTTTTAGGTATTTATAGGCTATCTAAGTAATTATACTTTAGAGGGGTCATTAGTAGACTTATAAGTTAATTTATAGAGTAGAGAAGAAAATATATATTAAAGAATATAAATAGTTATAAATAATTATAGATAGAAGGTATTGGAGGGGTAGTAGTTTAATTAGATATATCTAGTTTATTATTAGGAATTTAGATAGAAAGATAGAAGAGAAATAAGTATTAGAGAAAAACTTTTTAAGTAAATAATTTTAGTAATATTAAAGGGTTATAGTAGTTTAATACAATTAATTATATATTATATCTTTTATTATTTTCTAGGAGAAAAGCTAAGGTTTTATAGATTTTAGTACTCTTATCTAACCTACCTTTTCTTTCCTAATATAGTAAGTAAGGAAGGTTTATGTTCCTACTCTTATAAAGGATTCTAGAGTCTCTTTTAGGGATCCGAGGAATAAGGGAAAAAGCTATATCGAGACGAGAGTATTATACTAGATTAAGTAGTAACCGTAATTTTATAAAGTTATAAATTAAAAAAGAAACTATTTATACTTCCGATTCCTATAATCTAAGCGATCGATTATTAAGATATATCTAGATAGGTTTAGTAGTAGTATTAATAATAGTAGTTAGATAATAGATAGTAGCGGTTAGATAATATAGATAGATAATATAGATAGGAATATTAGAATAGTATCAAATCTATTATATACATAATAACTAAGTAGAATAACTAAGTAAAATACCAAAACTATTAAGAACTATTAGTAAACCGGTTATCATATATATCTATAACTAAACCGTTATAAATTACCGGTAAGCCAGAAATTATATGACTAAACCACTAAACCCGGTTTAGTTATGATAACCAACCAATAAGTAACCAACCATTGGCAACACTGCCCTACATACCCCAATGCTACACAACCAAACATACCTTTCCTATTCCAATTCCCACCAGACCTACTAGCCCTCTAGCCCTAACCCTTTTTCCGCGTCATATGAACACCCCCATCTAGAATTTCCATATCCATGAAATACATACCTCTAAAATGAAATCTTTCTAGTAATCTCTAAAGTAGAATGACGTCAGAAGTACTTCCAGAGAATCGAATAATAATTCTACTTACCGAATATAAAATCCAAGTACTAAGACCAAGGGCAAAAATTAAAAAATTGAAAGGAAATCCCACCAGACAACCAAAGTATTGAACTTTTGAATTTCTTATTTCTCTTCATCGCAATTCTAGGTAATGTAGGGTATTCTAGGAAGGTACGAGTACACGGGGATCGGGAGTTTGAAGAAATAACAAAAAGAGAGAAAGAAAGAACGAAGGAAAAGCTACAATAGGTACAGTACAGTAGGTTTGTTTGGGGGGTATGAGCTTTACCGAACCCACCAACGCGCGCCAGAAAAAAGCCCACCAAAAAGCGCCAGTCCAGTCCAGTCCAGTCCAGTCCACAAGAAACCCCACCACCAAACACGCTTGTGGAGAAAAAAAGGGGAGGGGGAGTGGTAAACATAAAAAAAGAAGACGATTCCCAAGTGCCTCAGCACAGCACAGTACAGTGCGTGCTATTCTTTTTGTTTCCCTCCCCCCCCCCCCCA